CCTTAAACCCTAAATCCCGAACCCTAAACCCTAAATGCTCAACTCCGAACGAGTTTTAGGGTTTAGGCTTACTGCCGACAAGTTGGAAATCCAAAGACTAAGTCGCAGGAGTCATGAAACGCTGAAATCCGAAACCATTAGCTCATTAGCAAGCAACTTATCGGCGAAAGGGAGCCTGCGGGCATCTGAAAATTTCGAGGCTGCAGCTCCTAACCTTGAAACCCTCCTAAGTCGCACCTCACACCCCAAAACCCTAAACTGTAATCCGTACTCCGTATTAGTGAATACCCCTATATTTAAAAGTTAGTTTCGGAAATTCTGGTTTTGCACGGCTCAGAAAACCATCCTATACTTAAGGGACCAATTTCGTCCCTTAACCATAAAAGCATATTTTGGAGTCTGCGATGGGAGTTAGGAGCCCCAAATTTACTACTTTGCTGCAAATTAAAGAGGCTTAGTAAAGGCTTACAACTTACTACTTTACTGCAATTAGAGGCTAAGTAGAGGCTTAAGACTTACTACTTTACTGCAATTAGAGGCTTAGTCGACTTATTACTTTAAAACTTACTACTGTACTGCAATTAGCGGCTTGGAACCCAACCCCCCAGCCTCAAGCCCCAAAGTGTGTCGAGGGAGGGTTTGGGACTACCTTAAGAACCCAAAACCCACTTTTTTGTAGGTTCTTATTATAAACCCTAATATGGGATTTATAGGGACCCTACAAAAAAGTAGGTTTGGGGTTCTGAAGGTAGGGAACCCTTCACCTGCGCCCAACCCTAAAACCTAAACCCTAAACCCTAAACCCTTTGGGATTAGGGGCTCTACAGACCCGAAAACCCCCTGGGGCCTTCGGCAGCAGCGGTCGACCCTCGAATTGCGAGGAGTCGGCCGCAAGCTGGAAACGTGAATTGAAAAGGGAGCCAGGAGGCTCTAAAAGGCTCTAATTCGAAGCCCTGTTGTTGAGTTTGGAGTTTAGGGTTTAGGGTTTAGGGTTTAGGATTTAGGGTTTAGGGTTTAGGGTTCGGGGGTCTGGGGTCATGGTTATTAATAGTAGGGCTTCATAAGGTGGCTGCATGGGTGTTATAAGGCTTGGGCAGCGCTTTTGGTTGATGTTGCTCAGGAATACGAGCACTCGTTAGGCCGATTAGTCCCCTATATTATTTTGGGGATTGGGTCCTACATTGCGGCATTCTCCTAAAACGCAGTGTTAGTGTAGTTCCTAGTCGGGCTGAGGCGCTCACGAACTAGATGCAGATGCCGAACGAAATTTCGTTGAATGCTCCATCTGCTACCGCAAACCAAAGACAGCTGTGGCAGGGCCAGCAAGAACATGTCCAGGAGCTAAAAACACCATATAACCTTGCAGAACTTGTAAACCCTGGTAACACCAAGATCAAACCCTATAAACCCCGCTAAGATAGCACCATGCAGCGCACTATGCAGGCAACCGTGGGAGTTAAGGAGTCCATGAAGACGCACCTACGTGGCCCAAACTGCGAGCCAGTAAACTCCGAAATACGCCGAACATACCGAGCAGAACTAACACCCGTCATCCGCCAGAGAATACAGTATATTCCTAAACCCTAAACCCAAGCCCCAATCTCTACATCCTAATCCCAAACCTTGTGCATAACCCTCCACGCACCATCTGTCTGCCAACTACGGCTACACAAACGACTTTAAACTGAAAGCTGCTTCTTCAAAGTACGTACGGCTAAGTTGTAGCCACACACGTTGCAAATAGTAGGTCAGTGCTCCCTAACAAGACGACGAATCACCTAACAACAGTAGGCCCGTAGGTAAGTACAGTTGCAGGTAGGGTGTTGGGTTTTGGGCTACAAAATTCTACAAAGCAGACCCTGAAGCACCAAGGCTTCGGTTCCTGATCCGAAGCATGCCCTTAAGGAGGGTTTTAGAGTTTAGAGTTTAGGGGGAAATATACATGGGAAAATAAACATACATAGAAGTATACATGCAGCATAACTATGCAGGTGCGAACAAGTACACATGCATACATGTACATTCCGTTATATTTCTTCGAAATGAGATACTAAAATATAATGTTGCATTCTATTTACTATACTATACTATGACAAACTATATTAGACAGTATCTATTACCTTATACTATAGTCTACTATATTGTACTAACTTTTCATATTTTATTCTGTACTATGCTATACTCTACTATCGTATTTTCGATTTATCTCATATATATATATATATATTGGATTATAT